CCATTCATATTAAATAAGACCATTATCGGAGCCAATATGAGCTTTGGTTCCACCCGCCGATTCTGCCTACCCCCGCACTATTACTTATTTTCGTTAGGAAATAGGTGGAGGGCCGCTTTGCACTACTTCGGGCGGGCCGAGCCGGTACTCTGAGCTTCTTTGGGACGGCCATTTGCTTCAAGGAACTTGCCCGAAGGCTATGTTTTCAATTAAGCTTTCCAGACAGTTGTTTTGTCGGTCAAAGATGCACTACGCTAAACATCATCGAAGCGTATCCACTCAAGCACTGCTTGCAAGCGTTTCGTGTGATGTCCACATTTGAGTCCTCGTGCTCTGTACGGCAATGACAAATATATTGTTAAAAAATGCCTGTACATAGACATAATGTGATCGAACATATGATGGCTGAAAGTCGCTGGTTTGTTAGCCAGTATCTGGGACGTGACCAGCCACTTCTAAATCATTATACCTGGTGCTAGAAAAAATATCACCGTCTCTAATGAGAAATCAATAGAAACTCCTACAAGATCATAGATACTTAGCTGCTGCTCTTACCTTAGCACGTTCTGTAGCAAATTTATTAGGAATCATTATTTGCGCCAAACAAGTGGCTCCATTTAGCTTGTCAGAACTATCCACAATTTTTGGGGAAAAATACTCTCTAGTTTCAAGCCCCCTTGAAGCTTCAGAGGGAAGAAAGTGTCTATGGTGTCACATTGCTTCCTTGGTAAGGCCCAGTGTTTTGTGAGGTAATACACTCCTCTAGTTGACAGGTCAATCTCATGACGCACCCCCCGATCCGATTGCATCACGTGTAGTAAATTTCTTGTCACTACATTCCGATTGCTCTCCTACATGAGGATTAGATAATCTGTAGGACCCTTCATCAAAGTAATCTATCTCATCGTGATTCAGTGATCAAAAAGTAATCTCAACAGCAGGATTATCCTCACGGATGATGGGCTGGGTTCTCCCCCCTCTACACTTATACCAATACGGTAATAATATCCTATTGTATATGAATGAGAGAATGTAACAATGGATACAAACAGCCCCAACCACAAGGGCTTTCTCGGTCATTCCACTCTCATCACAAATTTTAAGGCTTCATTGCTCCACATGCTGGATACGTCAGACTGTAGAGCTGTTCCAAGAGTACTGCTACAGCAATTTAAGTATATACACTTCTCAATCATTTGAGGGTGTGACCCTGCTGTGATTTGCAGTCGCTCGTCTCTACCGGCACACAAAAAGCCGCAATATATACCTTTTGTGACTACTTGAATTCAGGAAAGACCGGCTTACCGCTACGATCAAACTTCCTATAAGTGGTACACACGAAATATCAAACTATAGACAACCGATTATTATTGTCCAGCCTGGACACCGCAGCTCACGGCAACATCCCCAATCTACACTCCTCCCAAAGCACTTAGCAGTATCGCTGCTAGCCTTTTCGAACAGTTTCATTTCATGGACTGAGGCAATTGCGGCTTCTGCCCGGCGTCAGAAGCGCTTCAAATTTCCCACTGCCTAGTGGATGAATGTATGGGTCCCACCACGGGACCACAGATGTTGATCGTCCAGACCTTTGATAGCCTTGCAGATAATAACTGTATTTATGGCTAAGGAAAGTTGAGATAGGTTGAGATTCGCTTTTTCTCCGAACGAGGCGACAGCACATCGTGCTTGCGAGAATGGACACAAACTGGCAATAACTTTATAAGAGATGCGCACCTGACGTGGGACATCAGATGTCGCGGGCGTTGGCAGGCTTATCGGGTGAAGTTTTATTCTACCCATAGGGAGGCGGATACTGACGGGCTATATCCAGATGTAAGGAGCTGTTACCGCCGAGATGGCGTCTGACCCTGTCTCAAAGGCGGTTAGCATCCTCGCATCCTCGTGGTGCTGCTTGTAATGAGACCCTTCGCACCCACTTTATTTTTACTGGGAATCAACAGGCGTCGCTCTCGATGCAGAGCATAACTCGTGTCGCGAGAGCAACATGGGGTGTTTGAAATGTACACCTCCGAGTGCGAAAAAGGCATTGGACCTCAGCAATGCTGAGTAAAATTGCTAGCATTTTTAGCTGCTGAGAGGGTCCGCGGTACCTGCAAGTGTTTCATCTGCAGTCTGCGTCTTACATGCCATGTAAGGGAAGAGAATGGGGTTCATAATTTATGCACAAGCGAGGCGATATCTCTATTCGTAGATGAGGATTGGCTTCACTGAACCTCTCTCGGCGGAGGGAACAGTGCCGGGTCATTTGTGTAGTCATTGTGCCCGTTTCGCCGGAAAACTAATAATTGTTCGTATGTCGAAGGCCAAGGTCGCGCGTTCCTTGGTGGCTTGCTGAGCTAATGGAGACCATACGATAAAATTATTGGTGTCGTAGAAGCAGCCACTTTGGAGTGCGTGTGAAGTAGTAGAACTTCAGTCGCATTGTGCAGCGGGGCTGCCGTAGCTTTGCGCTTGAGGAAGCGTCTTTAGGTCACCGATCTTTCGTTCTATACAAGAACAAAGTACTTAAAAGCCTTACCAAGGCAAATCAACATGTTTGTTCAAATTCGAAACTGATTTTTATTTTGATTTTTATTTTAATGTTAAAAGTTTAGATTTTCCAAAATATACTAAATACATGTAGTAAAATCTAGAAACATCCATAACTACTGGCTGCCTAGCCCCGTCCCGTATTCTTGTCTGGGGTTCGTGTAACCCCGTTACTCATTGAGTACTCTTTGGGTTTTACTTTGTTATAAAGTGTGATCCGGTGTGTTACATATTTCGGTGTAACGTGGTACAACTGAATTATGGTTAAGTCACATTACAGTATTTCTTTTGAGAGTATAATAAATTGATGCCTGTTAACGTTGAAGCGCAGAGTCTAACGCTGATTTAGCCTAAGTGGTTGGATGTGGCGACATGGATTAGTATATGGCAATGCATCTGAGCAGATGAATGTTGGCATGCTAGAATTTGCTGAGTACCTATGAAAACTCGACACCTAACTATTCAATTTTCCAATTGAAATTATTTATTACTTTCGAAGACTGCTAATTCCAACAAGAATCAAGCTGTCGCAAATCGAAGGAGCAGCCACTCTCCGACAGTCTTAGCATGAACCGTTCGTTTGCTCTCTCGCTTATTGTCGTGACCTTCACGTCATCTTGGGCTACTACGTCTGTGGCCGGTAATGAAGACACTATTGCCACAAAGCACGTGCTGTGCCATGACGACGACGCTCCTGTTTGCGGTTCCGACAACAAAACTTATCCCAACGCATGTATTTTGCGCTGCTTTAACGTCACGATGGCTTATGGGGGCATTTGTGATGATAGGATCATGGACAAACAGGGGGCACATTGGTTAAGTTCTCTAACGAACGAACATATGGGTTTGATTCGCAACCATGCTAATTCGAATCCAGCTGACGAAGACGGGATTTTTTTCCGAAAGGTATTTCAAGCTTAAGGAAATATTATCGTACATGGAGAATAGTGTGGAATCGCTACAGCGCCTATGACCTCTTAAGAGAAAAGATACCTCCATCTATCTACCTCAAGGTGTTGGTTGAAGCATCAGAACGTTGGGAAAGCATACATGCAACAGACAAAACACTAGCGAAAAAGGTTAATGAGCAAACACTAGCGAAAAAGGTTAATGAGCAAACACCAGCGAAAAAAGTTAATGAGCGGGTAGAGAAGAAAACAAAAACAGAAAAACTTGTCGACAGTCTTCCAGAACTTCTTCGCGAAAGGTATCTCAATTATGTCGACTTGTATAATGGTCGCTTTGATGTGGCCAGTAAACCCGACAGATTTATCAGCAGATGAAGCAACTTTGCCTGTGATGCCAACTTGAGGAATGCGCGGCGCCATTTCGAAGTGCACAGACAACTTGCTATGTAGACGCCTAGAGTTTCGCCCCAGATGTGAGCTGGTAGTACAGCAGTTTTCATATTGTGACCACTATCAATCGCTGAAAGGCGTGATAATACAAGTGTTGTGAGGTGCTTGAAACTTTGTCAGTTGTATGTGTATACACTATAAACTTTAGAAACTTATTGAGTGCTTGATACGCAGAGATGCTATAGACTGGACCACCTTCAAATAAAAAGCTTGCAATTGTTACTTGGTATATTGTATCGTTATGCAAAAAAACCTCAAGCTTCAAAATTGCATACATGTAGCAGCAAGAAGATGAGCCCAATGTCATGATCTACGATAATTCTACCGGCGTACGCAAAGCGCATTCTGCTGACTGAAGATATTAAATCAATGCTATCTAGTATCTGATAAACTATCGAGAAAGATGATTCGCTGACACTGCTTTATTCCAACCATCCACGGCGAATAATTTAATTTACCGTGTCATGTCCTGAAGCTGTCGGCCAATCAGGTAGCGCTCATTGCGAATCGACTCACTCAAATTTGACAGCCATCGAGTCACCAGCGAGCGAGAGCGCACAAGCACGAAGACAGTGCAAACCCAAAATGCACATATCGCGAAAAGTGCTTTTTCAAAATTTTCCGCAACGGATGAAAATGTCAACAAAACCAGAAAGGCCATGATCCAAGGTACCACGAGCATGCCCACAAGAAACAGCATAATGGGCTGCAACACATTCTGTCGGAAGAAGTTAACGTCAAAACATTTAAGCCGAATGTTCTCCCGGCGAAGCCGAACAGCCACATTATCATGCACAGTTAAATTAAAATGAAGCTGACGGTGTACCTTCTGAATAGAGGCGATAATACCCACCGAATCGGCTACAACAACCACAGCACCCTCTTCAGGCCGTGGTCTCTCGTCTTCTAATTCAAGCTCGTCATTCTGTGGATCGTCATCAAAAAGCTCGTCTTCATTGTCTACGTCTAGGAAGTCGTTTGCATCGGCTTCGAACGCTTCAGGCGCCACTTGCCGCCGATTACGACGTCGATTTGCTTGCTTCGATCGAAAGCAGCAGACCAACCACACAAACAGATTAAGAAGCAAATAGCCCATCAAAAAGCTCTCCAACCACGTGGCATTTGCGCTCACCATGCAAGACGACATCAGCAGGCCTAGAAGAATAGGGCAGACAAAAGCCCAGCCTACAACACAAGCAATTGAGTTTCCTAATGACCTGTTTCGGACAGTGTACCCGCGCTCCACCAAAATTGGATCCACATGGATCTCAGGAAGCATCAAGATTTTAAGCGTGTGCGCACTATTCACGAGGAACCAAACAATTTGTACACCAGCTGCCATCACTAGCGGATCATGGCTGATGCCAGACACACGCTCAAACGGTCCCATGCAGATTCTTCCTGTAAAAAATGAGCCAAACAAAAACGTTCCAATCACCACGACGCAAACTGCCCACGTAAAGATAGCAAGTCCAGCAAGTCGAAGCCACAGATGAGATGGTCGCTTTCTCGAAAGTAATGGGTACTCAAGCAATTGCGGATTATCCACCCCGTCTTCAGGCCAGGGGAGATAGCGATGCCCCTGAACTCGTAACTCTTCAGGAAGCAGCTGGGCTCGAGGATGAAAGTGAAGAGGAGGCGGAGGTAGAATCACAACCTTAGACTGACGCTGACCATTCAAATCAATCTCTACTGTTGTTTGAGGTAGTAAGTAGTCAGTCAAACCCAGCCACTTACTTGCAAATACGATTGCTATATGCTGGAGCTTCCCAATGTCGTTTTTTGCGTGCTCTAGCACACTTAACACAACAAGGTGAACCATAAGAAGCTCCAGTGGCACCTGAATTTCTGAGCTTAAGTGCTGAAAGTGTAGCGTTAATGGGAAATATGATGGGGCCAGAGCGCTGGCAATACGAACAGGAATATGCACGAGCACCAGCAGTAGCGCGGCATAGATCACAAGTGATAGAATCATACGACGGGCGTGCGTAATGCAGCTTTCACTCAGTAGCGTACGTAGCAAATCCGGATGGTCCTCCTGTGGTCGAATTAATTTAGCCAGTACTTCCGGGTGCGCAACTTCACGCATTAAAAGGACAGAGACTGTCACAAAAAGCATGAAGGTAATGCCTAGTACCCAGTGCACCATCAAGGCACATATCATGTTTTGCAAGCAAAATGAAATGCGATCTTGGGCAGAAACCATAAACATGTGAAGAGTGGCAAAGTCGATACATAAACCCAGCAAAATTGGAAGAATCACCATCTTGAGCAAAAGCAGCGTCGATACTTTCACAATAGCCGTCAAACAGCGTAAAGCCCACAAAAGTCCTTCCATAAGGGGACGATGGATGTACGATGACGCAGTGCGGACCATAAACCTCCATAAAACAATGGTCAAACATATCGACAGATATCCCATTGTACAGGTGCAAATGTCGACAAGTTGCAAGCAGTCGCCCTGTTCTTTAGCTGTCTCAATAGCCTGCAGCAACATTTTTACAAAGTATCCACCTAAATTCAAGTCTTGCTCCGTAGCAGACTCAAGTTTTATCAAAGCTGAATACGCCGTTGTACTAACCGGTAATGAAACGAGAATTCGAGCACCAGCAGATAGCAAAGTACTCCCAAGTGTGTACGGAATAAATGCAAAGAGACCGAGATACGCACCATTAAATGCCAGCAGCCACGAAACGTTACGAAACAGCACTATTAAATCGCCGCGTAAACCCAGTAGCTCATCCATAGCTATATTAATTTCCATATGCTCAAAATCGTCTTCCCACTCGCGTTGATTCATATTTGGCGGCGGATCCATGCGCTGTCGTGCAGCTCTCGGCGGTATCACCGCCTGTCGAACGCGTTCGTCTTCTATCTCACGAAGAGGCCGTCGCTGTCGCAATTCGTTTTGTGGCGGTAGGACAGGATCAGCGTCTTCAGCACGCGGCATTAAGGCAATCTCTTGATGCTGCATCAAAGCATCAGCTATTGGTTCCACATGATTCGGATCAGCCCACTCCCCTTCGTCTGACGAGTCATCGGACTCGGCATCGTTCACGTCGTCCAATTGCCTTGGCGCTACCATCACGGGAGCGACTTGCTCATTCTCAATGACGTTGGCTACATGATTGTTGTCTTCTAAGGGGGGACGCCTCGCGTGTTGTACCACGTCATGACGGTGTGCATGATGGTGATGATGTGGTACATTGTCAGCGGCCATATCCTCTTCAATGTGGTCCAAATGAAACCTCAAAAAGTCGGCGAACGACATTAACGCTAAGAAAGAAAAGACGATACACACAATAAGAATGACTCCTGCGAAAATATCACTGACAATGTGTGACGCGTCAAAACGCTCGGAGAAATTGACATTAATCATAGCCGACGCGCGCAATAACCACATGCGGTAGAGCCAGCTCGTGCACCATGGCGCAACAGCTAGCCACAAAAAGACCACGAGAGTGGCACGTACTGCAAATGGCAGCCACTTAAGCAGCACAACACGTAATCCAGTGGTCAGTAGCTCTGTCCAGGGCAATACATCGGGTGCATTAGCATTGTACAATGGCGTGAAGGTGAATTTGTGGCCGCACAACTCGCAAAATATCTTGCCCGAGTGTTCAAGCCACTGCTCTAAACAGTCGGAATGTGTGAAACGGATGCTTCCGCTGCACTTGCAAGGCGCATATAGACGTCGATCTGGCTCGGCCTCCCCACGGCACACACGACACTCAATCTCATCATCATCAGTTAAATCGTTAGTCGGGGGCAGAGACGGTGGCGCGACTGACATTTCAGCTTCAGGACGCGGATCCACCATTAGTGGGATGTGAATGAATGCGGTCTATTGAATTGAGCGCGGCAGACAAAAGTTTCGAAGCGGAGAAGCCAATAAGCGACTGGGGTTTTGGGCGACAAGGCGTGGAATGAGGGCTGTGCTTGTCATGACCCTAATACTGTGTCTGGTTATTTGTAAAAGATCTTATTGTTTATATACTGAGACTATATTTAGAGCAGAGAAATAGTCAAGCTCAACTCCGATAAAACAATCAGGCTTCCCATAGACGAGAATAACAAACTGACGATTGTTTTTTTGCTGTATAAATTTCACCTTTGGGTACTAAGTGATTAGATGATAACCAACAGAAGTACTTGGTGCTCTGGTAAGTTAGCCAGAGAAAAAGTTATCACCAATCCATAATATTTTTTAATTACATTACCAGCATTTTAGAGATTATAGTACTTCACAGTGCCGCCATTGCTGCATTTCCAGTGAGTTTAGGTATATGAAATCCTGAAAAAATCCAGGTTGAAGAAAATTAGAAAAATACACATCTTTGTCCTCGCAAGGCCTTCTCCGCTTTTGAACTAATAAAATCGTGTTGTCAAATCTGTGGGTCTTATCACTTCCTGATTCAATTTCGTCATATGTCTTGCTCAAATCTACGTATGTTATTCATCACATAAGTATGCTCCTGCCGTTGGCACGTTTGGGTCTTTAATTGGGGGAGGCCAAAATCTTACCTTTGCATAAGTCGAGAATACACCTTTTAGAACGATTCACCACCGCAGGTGTTCGTATTGTCTGTCTGCGGCCTAACAGAGTCACTGCTTGACGCAGTGCTTTACGATTAACTTCTTTCAATTTGGATTGTAAGTCGCTACAGAAGACTTTCGATTACTGAATGAACGTGTTGTGCGGATATGACGTAACAGTCGATTCTTCAACGGAGGTGCCGTCATTTCGCACAAAAGCTTCTATATAAGAGTCTGTGCTACTTGCGCATAGAATTTTTTTAGTATGCTTTACCAAGAAGCGGAACCGAGAGCCAGAAATGTAGCTGCTACATTCGCCAGCGAGCTGTCTTCCCTGGTTGTTCGACAAAGGGGGTCAAATCATGAAAAATTCATCGGATGTACGTCGTGACGGACAGGAATTCACGCGAAGAAGATGCCAATCTTGGTTACACGAAGTTGACCATTAAGCTGTTTGCCTAAGCTGTTTGCCTATGTATCTATGTATTAAGTCCAGCTATAAACATTAAACGAGTCGTTGAATCGTCTACTCAAATGAAGTATTGGAAATCTATTGTCATAGCTTACTCATGAAGTCAAAGAGACCTGTAGTGTTTGCAGGTGTTTAATGATGCTTCATTAGAAGAACTATAGACCCCGGCGTCGACGTCGTCAGCTGTGATGTTGATGATGTCAGCTATAAAATCACGTTGTCTGCACCAGAGCTAAAAGTCGATGATTTAATTGTGTTTTAAGCAGAGTTGGTTTCAGCAGATAAAGAGATGTTTTGTACGCTGTGATAGCCGTTACACGTAAGCCCCGCCATCCTTGTCAATACATCATTGGCTAAATGATGGCGGCTCTCAATGCACGTTTGTCCGGGTTGGCAATCAAGTTTTGGAGTCCGAATCAAGAAGCTGGCGGAATGTGAGGTTTTGAGTCATTTCTATAAGAGGACTGGTGAGGATGATCATAAACACGGCATATGTGTGACCAGAATTAAGTTATCTACCTGCCGTAACTCAACACAAATGTTTACCTCTTGCTGTGAGAATTAGCTTGATCACCGCATTTGAGATGAGCACACCAAAAAAGCCGACACACAAAGGCTAGATTGGTGCTAGAGAACAGCTCTGTTGCTTCATTTAAACCAAAATTTAATACTGCTAGGATTGACAGTGAAGGCAGTTTAGATCTTTGCGCGCGAGATGCAGTAGCAGGCCTTCATACTTAAGTAGACTGAATGACGATACAGCTAAGCTTAAAGCAAAGGACGAGAAAATTACATTTCTAAAATAGTTGGTTTGAGAATGGCGTATAGTAATTGACCATATCAAAACGGTTATACAAATCGCATTCAAGGTACATTCTTACGACGAAGCTTGGTGTAGATTTTTGATGAAGCAGCTACTTGAACTATAACAACTCGGTATATACAGAATTATACTCTCCTAGCAAATATCCTCACTTTTCTCTTTTAAGCTTTTTATAGTTTGCTGAAAATTCACCAGGATATAATGTGATCGTTGATAGCGTCGCAAAAAAGCATTATGTGATTATCTGCCTTTTGATTTGGATTTCCTCTAAACATCCGTGACATATAAAAGAACGTGAATACTACATTTCGCAGAAACATATCGCCAAGCATCGTAACCTTGGTATCCTGAGTGGTTTCATTGTGCTTGATTCATTATAACCGTAACTTGCTGCTTTCCCTAATTGTATTTTCTTGATCGTACAGGTTCTGTGTATTTGTCAGCCACCACGGCATTGTGTAGTCCATCTTTTTATCACAGGGGGGCATTGCACTGAAAAGAGCAAGAACTTTACCGATAGTTTTACAATCGTGAAGGTGACAACCATGACTGATGTAATTATAGTCAAGAATAATCGAATGAAAATCAATTTTCGTAAAACCCGGCGGTGTGGATTCAACACAGCACGCACAGCTCGACTGCACAGCCAGTAATTTATGTGTCTCGGTAGAAGTAGAGCGAGACGAATGGCTTTCATTACAAATAACACACGCCGAACCGCCATATCCACGAGAAAATGTACAGCTTTTGATCCCATGACTCAAGCTCGCATTCAGCGTTCAACAAGAATTTAAAGCTGATTTGAGAATTACAAAAATGTTGCTTCATTAAGTGATTTAATGCACTCGTCGTACGAGAGAGGGACTCATCCCGACCACCAATAAATGTTGTGGCTTAGCAAATACTAATACTATGGCCGCATCTCACGCTTTTTAAAATAAAAGCTTAATTTTCAAGTAAATGGCATCAACATTCCCTTCAGACAACGAAAATTGCGCGGTGATACTTTGAACATTGTTTGGGAAAAGAAAGTTGCACTAACAATTACTGCTCGAGTCGTCCAGGCAATGATGCTATCTTAGATGCAAGAAAGCCGAATTCAGAGCTAGAAACTGGAATCCTTGAAATACTCTCGGTGCTTGTAAGTTCGATGATCAAACGGCAATTATGAGATAATCACGAAGAGACGCGATCTTGAGCATGGCTACATAGAGCGAATGTTAAAAGAACATAATAGTGCAACAACATGCCAGTGACGCAATACTATCATGTGCGCGATCCGGTGGAGAATCTGCTTGTAAGCGTAACCTTGCGCAAGGTCAGCAAAAATGTCGATATCAATTGAGAGGCAAGCCTTGACTTAAAGTTCGATTTCAGATCTCTGGATTTAAAAGTGAGGGCAGCGGCGATTCAGTCCCTGTTGGGAAAAAATGGAAATACTGTTTCCAGTGGCAAGAAAAGAAGCTTAGTTCGCGGTAGGAATGCGTGGTATAAAGCATCTTTAAGTTGTTGCCGCTGACATATTGTATAAGTGAAAAGAAACTCGAGCAAGAACGCCTCAAAGGACGAGAAAATAAACCATTTACGGATAAAGTACGTGCTTTGACATTCGTTAAACGTCTTCTGGCGCCATATAATGCTTTTTATTGTGATCAGCACGAAGAAGACACATTATCTTCGTACGTTGATGAAGATAATTTCATTCCAGATGAAGTCAGTGGCACCAGCAGCATCATTCTGCTTCATTATAATGACAACTGTATTGTTGCAATGTTTGTCATTCTAGCTTGCACATGAAACATTGACTACTTCAAACGACCGATCGACGCATCTACTTCCCCCTGATCTTTCCCGTCGACCTTCGTACAAACGTACGAAAGCCTCATGGTCGCTAAATCAACATCGCACATGGCTTCGAGCGAACCGCGAAGATCAGTTCCGAGCTATGCATATTGTTGCACTGATCGAAGACGTAGAGCGTATTCTGTGCTCTTTTCGATATTACAAAAGCAGAGGGTTGTTGTGTGCCACCCCAGGTTTTTCTCTTCCAATTTCCGAGCCAGGACATGATCCAGACTTGCTCGCCAAAGGTCCAAAGCTTTCAACATACCACGTAACAACTCGCTCGGGTTCAGTCTTCGAGTATGTGCTTGAAAACGTACACGATATTCACCCATGTGTATCCGCAGAAGAGCAAAAGCTTGCTAAGGAAATTCAATTGCGAGAAGAAATGCGCGATAGAGAGCATATAATTCGATATCAGCAATCAAGTCGAAAAATATCTGTATTTGATCAAAAACAAGGAAACTCTAAAAGTTTAATGGAGCGAAAAATGATGCTTTCGATCGAAGTCGTTGCGGTAAATGATCCTCAAGCAATGGATCCAATTTTTGTGAAATATGAGCTGGAGTTGCCTCGTCGTGCTGGACTTCCTCATTGGAAATTCTACTCCAGTGATCATACTCGACAACGAGGCACAACTTCGCTGTCACTACCGCAGCGATCAGCCTATCCGGGATGCCATACTTCCGCTATATTGAATCACAATCAACAATTTTATTTGAAATTTAAAAATGCTGAAAAACCACCAGCAATAGAACATCTGGACGAAGACGGCGGCTATGCCAGCATGGCAGCGTCTCCGGTGCTTCGTTTAGCCGTGTATTCTTGCGACCCTTGGCACAGGAAGAGACTAGAAGGGCACGGTGAAATTAAGCTGAAAGAATCAGCTGGATTTTTTGATCAAGACATACCTCTTCAAAAACCATTTTTATCAATCAGCGATCATTTGGAAGAACTCTTTTTGGGCGTCGATGAAAGTGCAGAAGTTGATGATTTCGACGATAATCGGCCACAAGAAAGTGATTCTGATTCTGAAGAATCGCCAATCTCCAATTTGATCATTAGTCGTTTAGGACAAAAATCTGAATCCACAGGCGCAACGGTTCGACTTCGCTATATTATAATTGATGTAGAACCAAATCACCACACCAAAGCAGTGCGAACGACACCTGCGTTACCTTTTGTTGCAGCTGATCTAAGAACCAAAGTGGTTCAACGAAGCGTGCACGAAATCTTGCGATCAGTGAGGCGAGAGAAGCGACTAGCTACAATCACCGACCCACAAATCCAAGCGGCATTGCGCTCATTGCCAAACATTGAAGCACATAACACAAAAGCACTATGATCTGTACAGTTTACTTTCTTATAGTTCAACAGCTCGATTATGTAGATTGCTCATCGTCGTTCCTAAAGTCGGTTAGTGGTTTGCACTAATTATTTCACGACGCAGATAAATATAGTCCTTTCTGATGAGTCAGCCCGACTCCATCACAATTACTCAAAAGTTCGTTAATATGTCGTGTGGTTCACAACGCAAGTTTTACAAAATCTTGTCCATGCATTGTCAATAAGTCAAAAGGCACAGTTCGATCTGCTTCGCCTGAGTATATCCGCGTTGCGAGCAGTAAATGCATGTTGAGTCCTGATTCTCGTTGAATGTTCCTATGCGCTTATCATAGCCTTTGAACTTCGATATGATCAATCGCAAAGTGAACATGGATTGATCTCGATTTTTGCAAGAGCTCAATCATAAGACACTGACGATATTGCTGTGGTATTCAAAGTGATTAAAATTGTCTCTGGTCCAATAAAATAATCGGCATCCACCAGGGTGCCCACAACCACGTCTAGAATGGAAGGCTAAACCATTATGGATCGAGTATGCTTCTATTTGTGGGATATGCAATAACATCTGTGCATTCTTATTGAAAACAATATTAGTCGTATACACTACATAGTCATCCCGATACTATGAGTCTAACGCGAGGAAACTCTCGACATAGCTGTGTAAAGTTGTCCATGCAAGAAGCAGAGAGATTAGCGGTGGAGGTCCCACATTCTGCACCATTTTGTTCTTATACCTTGCTTGTAGTCATTACGGAATCTAGTTGCACTGGGCACTATTCGTTCCGAAGGCAGAAAGAAAAATCACTCGAATCGTCATCGCTGATAATCGATCAGTTTCTTCGACTTACTGTCATAGCTCTGATAGTTGATGATGCAAACTGTAAATTTAGATCTTGGATGGTGTAACGTATCTTCGCGTTGCATACGTAGAGGCCCATGTAATTGATGCAAATTTCCTGCGAGAGCCGGCACGTGCTGGTTCATGAATTTGTCTTATCAACTGAAAGGTTGACGATAACAGACACTTACGCATCATCTTTGAGCGCGGTATGTGGTAAATTCACCATTCCTTTTACCAAATTTATTGTACGATGTACGACTTAACTTTTGGCTGGTCTCGAGCTGCCGAGCCCAAGCCAATTAGAAAGTATTGGATGACGAACGCCTAAAATGGGTCAAAGAGGCTTTCGTCCCTTTAAAGCGAAGGCACCAACATGCGGAAACAAAAGCTGCTATGTTCTAGAAATGAAAGCGAATATTCGTCAGATGATGATTGTTATTGGTATGGATAAGTTATGATTTATTGAGCTGATAACAAGTAAAATGGTTGGTTCGCAAATGATCTCCTACTCGTCAAAAGTGAAATGTAGTCGTCTGTAACGTATTATGTACGCTGCATGTACGCATTACACCGTCGTCCCTCAGTCTAAGCTCAAAACAGCCAACGCAGTGGTACAGACAAGAATAACGGGGCTCTATACAAGAAAGCCCATGCTCGTATTGATGGGCGTAGTAAGATGAATTTTGTATTTTACTACTTGTTAAAAGACTTAATGTCACAGAAAAGTAAAGAAGATATCAAACGGATCTAGATATCAAAAAGCGCCTATTATGTTCCTGGGTAGGCGTACAAGCTCATCATAAGCGCGTTTGTTGATACGCTTTAAGTCGAATGATTCTCCGTGCGAAAAAACACACAAAGTAGCACTTTTCGTAAGTTTGAAGGCCGAGTCGTGCCAAAGATGAGTTGTTTGGGCATTTGTGTCCAAGACAATTAGGCACACTCAGTAATTATAAAAATGATCTTGACGAAATTGGAAGCCTGGCTACCAAATACTCGCCTGAGGACTCACTAACTGTGTCAATGCGCTGGACAACTCCAGGAGCGCAAAAACGGAACGGCGTCAAAGAATAGATGGCATCAACAGTGAAAACGATGTTGGAAACCTAGCCTATTAGGTCTGAGATAGAAAAAATATATCTGGAGGAGAAGCTGAGATGGCAATGGAGTCCGACAACCTCTAAGCGGAGCATCAACGCGTCGCACTAACGGGCTCCAATCTAGAAAACCGCGTGTGAGAGTTGGTACTGATGTGCAGAACCTCGGAGAGAAAAGATTTTTATGACATTAGAGTGTTGATGAAGACTGCGTGCACTCAAATTCTTGTCCGCTCGTCAAAACAGCAAAAGTTTGCGGGCTATGTCGAAGAAGTGAGCTTTCTCATCAGCGGCAGATTTTCTTTCTGATATATGAGCAAATTTCATGTTTCATGGAGGGTTGATACGCTAGTGTAGCCAACAGCGAAATCCACTCAAGCGCTTTCGATGATGCTGTGAGTGCTGTATGAATGCGGAGTGCCCAAATTGCTGGATGGAGTAACGAAATGAGATTTCGAAAATCTGAGGCGATGGACCTCAACCATGCTGCACAGACAACGGTAAGTCACTCAGCTGCTGATATAACCATGGTACTCTCAATATTACATCTGTGAAATTATCAAATATTTACGTCGTCCCTTGTCTTTGTTAGTTGAGAGGTGCAATGGCTCGACTTCTCAAGCAGAGGTGTTCAACAAACTTCTCGTGGGAAAACGACGGTTTAAAGTAAGTCGACCGAAAAGGAAAAAATGTGGGTTTGATCGTAACTCGTGGATGTCTAGGTCAGTGGGATCCAGCCCTTATAGAAGAGGTTCTCTCTATGTGATATAGGGCTCGCAGCTTAGAGCTGTTGGCTATCAGCATTAAAGTGCAGCATTTTATATTGCCGTATCAAAAGCCTTTAAGCCTAATAGAATCCTACTACCGCGTGCGGTGTGTGACTGAAAAATAATACACAGTACGTAAGGAATTGATGATGGCAAATACGGATATCATTACGCTGAAGAAGAAGGGAGAAGAATAACGCGATGTTAATTCTTATTTCATTTCGTGCGTACAACCAGGGCAGCTTAATACATTTTCTTTTTTGCATAATGATCTCATCCGAGATGGCGCGACTTAGGTGCTAAGAGCCTTGAATTGACTGAATTTAATTGATGTTATGTGCTATAAACAAATGAGCTATCGGTTTCTTATGAACTACCTTTCCTCGAGAGCAGGAACGCTTTTGGTATGGGCGTGATTCTACGATAGCTTCGGTGTAGGACATGCAGATCGTCCGATTGGTTAACCAACAATGCCGCTGGGAACCTTGAGCACAGATCTATGTTAGAGCGGGTGACAGCCGCGATCATAAAAACTAGAGTATAACGATTGCTGAGTCGCAGCTTTTTCAGTACAAAGTTCACGACAAGTTGGTTGCATTGTCACTTGGGCCGGCCAGCGTCCATTCACTTTTTCGGATACAAAAGATATCTCATCGTTGATCAGGCCGTCCTCATCAGACCTGCTCTATATAGATCAAATCGGGCATATCAAAATCGGTGCCTTTAACGCTCAGTCATACTGACTGAGCGTTAAAATTCGGCAAAAATATTGATTGCAGAGAGCTTCACAGTTTCTTTTGAGTATTCGACATAATAACACACAAATAATTTTTTTAAAAATTGACAATTAAAGCAGAATGATTGTACAGATTTTAGTGATTGGTATTATTGGACGCAGCACGCTCTTTTCGGTGCAAGTTTCCGCCATATCTGCTTTCTTCTGCTCCCCCCAGAACCTTCTGCGATAAGAAAGCTTTGCCTTATAAATTCTGCGTTTACTAGTGCACATATGATGATTTTGTGTAGAGTAGAACCGAGAGCCGGCACTTAGTTTTTTTTAACCTGCAGGAGTGAAAGGGTAGTTTAAATATATCAGTTGACAGTATACCCTTTTTTATACATTTCGTGAGGATAGTAGCCTGTCCCTCCAACCGTTCTCTTTGAGGTTTATTCACCTCTATTGGGACAAAATTTCCATAATGATACTGTCTTCTACTCAGCTCTATCTGACAGGAATGATTCATAGTGGTAGTACTCATAAGCTTTGCGTTAAGTCCGATGGACAGCAGCAACAGCAATATGTTGTGAACGTTTCATACAATATATTACGTACTCTGCTACAACCTCTCGAATCAAAATGTGTACCATACTGGGTACATACTAATTACATAATTTTAAGACTCCCTGCGCAGTGGGAAACGCTCTGCAAACACCCATAGCATAAGACACTGAAACAAATGCATCTGCCGGGGTATACACTTCTGAGCGTCATACACATCGGCTTATCCGCCTCATATTCTCATATAGGTTAGTGAAGCTTACGGAAGGTAACTTTCTCTCCCGGCCGATGACCCTCAGATAAATGCCAAATGCGGAAGTACATCCGGGTGTTTCGCAACAGGGACACCCGCTAAGATGTCGAAGATATGTTGAGCCTTCGGGTGAAACTCAAGAACTTTGAGAGCGTGGGGCGTTGTATCGTCCTGTACCTGGATTCGCGATACGATCTCACTCTAGGCATGGCGTGGCTGGAATGCTACGTGCGATAGATCAACTGGAAGCCAAATAAATAGGTTTAACATTCTCTTTGTCGCTTTGGCAATTAATGAAAATCACCTCTCCCCGTAAGCATAAGCGCTTTTGATGCGGGCACAAAGCTGCAACCGCCTCCGTGCAGAACACGGGATTGTCACAGCTTAATAGCAGTGGTAATGACGAGTGCTTCGAGCAGGGCTCGGAAGGCTGAAGTGGCAGTGAATTGAGGTCACTAAATACGACGGACACGGGCGATTGCAACCGCCGTCTCCGGAGCTAATTTTGTTGAGCCAAAAAGGCCAGCTGTATATAGTCGTTCCAAAGTGTATCTCCGGCAGCACGATTTATAGGTCGGTGAAAAATGGCATTGCGCTCTCTCGGGTCATTCAAGATGTAAGTCGACCGTATGTCGTGGGTGGAAGGGCCAAGCTTTATATATCAGAGAGACCACTTATCTTCGTCGCGATAGGGCGGTGGGCGCTGCGGAGTCAGCACTATTGTGTTAGGATTGTACCGTGCGAAGTAGTGAAGCCCCACGAGTGACTGACAAAATATCGCTCACTAGTAAATAGAGTGACTGGCAAATTTATAGAGTTGTAACTCTCCCTTAAGTACCTCTGACAAAAGCTCTCATTTTAAACTGGAGGATTCTGCAGCAAATTACAAGACGACATGACCATCGAAGCGATACGATCAATACGGGAAGAGGTGCTAAGTTCGTCACCGTCGTAGATAATACTGTCAATCAGGTCACTCGCAGAGCACTGAGTGAGAGGAGTGGGACAGCTTCTTTGAAGAAGCCTGGGATCAAATATATTTTTGTTGAAGGAATACCACGAAATGGTGACATGAGGCCCTCCAAGCGTGTTATTATCGTATTTGGGGAGTGCGTCACAAAGTTGACTTAGAATTCGGAGCGAAACATTACGTCTAACGGCAATGATTATTCTCAGAGAATAGTGTGATTTTTGACGGTTTCTTTCGTGTGAAGGACGAAGTGGGTTTGGTAAAATTCGAATTTCCAAACTCGACACATACTTTATGTATCATGAAGGCTTATATCAATATTGGGCTTACTTTGTTTAATGTCTCGGCTGAATTGATTGTTATCATGAAGTGCTGATAAGTGACAGCAAGTTCTTCTTCGCTGCGGTAAAAATTCCGATAGCGATGCTACGGAAGTAGCTCGATCTAACATTGACCTTCGTAACGCTTACTCGGCTGATAACACAGCGATTCGGGCCACATTATAGCTATGCGCGAACCTGTTTCAACGATATATCTGCCTTAAGTTGAATCAAAAACGAAAAATCGAATGCGGAAAACTACATTAAACACTTGAGAGTGTATGCGCATGAATAAGGTTTAATAAATTCAAGAATGTACTTGGCTTTATTTTGATCCTGTTTGGGTTGCTTTATCGAATCACAACGTCCGCAGGAAAAAATTAATGACTGTTGTATATTAGCGCGTTTCTCTGTCTTAAAAAGACTTGAAAAAATAGCTTTGCCTGACGAACTACTTGCTCAAATGCAGTGCGAACTGTACCGATATGACACGGCCTCTCACTAAGCCCTTAAAAGTGTCAAACGGTGTTGAAGTGCGGTATTAGAGGCGCCCTATAAAGCTGTAAATTGCTACATACGTGCGATTTTTTTAATCTAGGTCGACCATCTACGTCGTCTGTGATACGTCAACCTCAGCTATTGGCTAGCCTTACTCCAAGGTGATGCCAACGCTAGTAATGTTCAAACATGCCAGCTGAATACTGTCGAGAAACATTCCATTGTTTGTGGCAAGATGCTTCCTGCAATAAAAGACGCCCTCGTCACGTCCCGAGTGCCTTTTGTGAGTTGGTCTCAGTGGTTTGTGATCTATACATGTTATGCGTTGTTGCGACGTCGTCATTGCAGCCACCACAGGAAATGAAAAGATGATTATCCTTTTTGCCGTATATACCTTTGAGGTTGCCGGATGAGCTCAATGTGGTGATCAAAGTGCTTTCCTGTCGCTTCAGCTATGAATTATCACATGTCATAACGGCAACATCATCTGGTGAGGTAATACGCACAACCCACTTTCGGATGCGACATGCGTTGTGTTGCTAAAAGCCTTGAAATGCAAGGATTTTAAGACTTTAGATGTCGCTTTATAAAAGCGCGTGTTTGCACGCCTGTACCGCTATGACTTACCAGAGGCTTGTTTTTTCTCACAGCAATGACCTTCATGGCACAGCGCGTAATGGAGCCTTCTCATGATTAGGGCCTTGAGTACAGCATCATATAAGATATACATGATACCCTTGCGAGTGTCCATCAAGATAACGAAATAATACCTAGCAGGTGACCGCTATGCATGAGTGACCTAGCATGCATTCGTGGGAAAGCACATACTTGACCACGTGCTAGACAGGACAGTGGAGTAAACGCTCTCCACTTGCGGCAGCACCTTTAGCCAGTCTTCGCTTCCAGAGTGTTCGTAGAAAATAAGTGTGAGCTGCTTCTGTAGTCTTTTGGAGGACGCGCCTAGCAAGACCAGTATTCTGGTGTTTAGGGTTATTCTGAGTGGTTTGGCTGACCTAGCTGCTGTCTGCAGTTTTGTGACCAGTGAGGATACAGCCAAAGTGCTACTATCTGTCACAAAGCTGCCGTTATCTATATATTGGATACACTTTTCGAAAGATTGCTTAAAATGCTCGTCAGTGTCAACCGCTGACCTTACACTACAGATGATCAGACAGAACATGTGAATTGTGTTGTGGGAATTTCTCTAAAGCACTTCTGCAGATAGACCATGATGCTGAAATAAGTTGTTCTCTCTAGTTTAGAATAATGGAGTATATGGCTCTTGAAACGAATTAATCCATGTAACACTTTTTGGTACTCCTGAAATAGCAGAGCAAAGTTTAAGCGTTTATCATCTGAGAGGCGTTTAATGATTTTGTTATTCATTTTCAATGTAGTTAGAAAAATGCCCACTCTCGATTTGTTTGTAGCTTCCCTTATGCAAAGCTTATAACAACCTGGAAGATGGCGTACCTTGAGTACTAAAATCTGGCAAAAGTACTGATGGGCTTTAAAGTCAGTTTGCGCTGTGGGTAGATAAATGTCGCGTCAGACGTCTGCAGATTTTACAAACCAGCACAAGCAGTGTGGACGACCATCAAGAGCGTCATCACTACTCTTGATTTTGAGAACATGAAGCTCGTCAATGTCAAGTTGATAAGGCCATCGTCTCCTGTTACTGCTGCTTAAATTTTTGCTTGTCTTCATAAGATGGTTAGAACAGCGACCGACCAATGATCTTCATGGTCTCATGATCAGTGGCCACGAACTAGTGGAAGACACACCGCGTCTGAAACCATGCCTTTTCTTCAAGGAGGATTAAAGTGGAGGTGCGTCAGATCATAAGCGGCCCCAGCACCAGGAAGATAAGGTAACTTCAACCACCACTTGTTACAGATTGCAGGCCATACTACCACTCACCAGGTGCTGGTGTCAACCCTAGTGCGACCACCGGCCCGTCACATATCCCAC